CTTGCTGCACCGGTCAAATACAGGATGTCGCCGGTTGTGAAAGAGATGATCGTAAACCCTGCTAATCCGCTTGATTCGATATTGCCAAGACTATTCATGAATCTGTTACCAGAGTAATCAGGCAGGACAACGCTGCGTCGGTCCGATGGCTTCACCCGTAGAAACCCGGGTAAGCCGCCACGAGAGTTCATGCCCGCGTGTGCGGGAAACATTGCTGCGGAGGTAGCGTCAGGTCTGTGTATTGTTGCCACAAAGACCGTGTCGGCGGATTCTATGATATCAATCACTTCCGCGGGTAGCTTCTCCGTTGGTGCCATATGCAGTGATTGGTAAGCGAGGTATGGTTTCGCCCACGGGAACGGGTCAAGTTGACGCACATTTATATACTTTGGACAATTGCTGTGATTACCCTTAGTACCGGTAGTTCTGGCCTTGACCATGTTGGGATGAGCCTCTTACCCCAGCGCCTCAGTAATCTCAACTTCAAATATATAATCGTGGTGTGACATCGCCTTTACCATGTAAATTTTCCCCGCAAACTTATTCCTTCTCCGCGTCGGGAATTCGATCCCCAACCCAGCGGTCAATGACCTCTTTTCCGAGATTCTGCCTTCCATTTGGTGATTGTTGATATCTTCCAATGATGTACACCCCTGAAGGGTCGATAATATTGGATCGCCCTCCCATAATCGTGCTCGGAAAACCAACGACTTTAAACCTGGACTGTCTACGAACCCGACAGTTCCCGTCGATCCTGCAACTATTCCACCCCAGGGCCGTCCATCAGCATCGGTAGTCGTGAGTGGAATGAACGGCAAATTCGAGGTGTGGAATATTTGATGTTGTTCACGAAGTTGGTTTTCGACCGCAGTCCAATGAGATGATACGGCGGTCGCGTAGCCCAGTTGGCGTTGGATGGCGACTTCGCCGGGGTGCCAGCCTTGAAGGGCAGAGATGGCCATTCTTTCTTTGTCTCAGTTGAACCCGATTACCTGGTACTAATTTCGGGTTACTATAAGTCTGTATCCTTAGAAGCACGATGAGAGGAAAGGTATGTGCGGGCGGAACTCATTGAATCATTAATTCCTAACTGTCAGTGTTAATTTGATCGCGTCATTTTATCCGAGATGACAAATACGCCACAAAGTCTCAGAAGTCTAGACTTCCGTAGTGACTTCGAATACGAGTATTGCTTGCTCCCTTTGCATAAGGTTTACAACACCAAGCCGTCTTACTCATGGGAGAGCCATATTGCTATGTATTTACAACTGGGGGTGTCCAGGAGTTGTTCGGTTATATGTTGGCGTCGGATATGTGGTGAGGCTATGGGGAGAAAGGTCATGCAAGGCATATCTTTTAAATGCCTTGGTATGCACCACTCTGGTCTGCTAAGCTCGGTGCACACCATAGTAAGGTAGCCTCTACTGGCTTTGCCGAGAAAACTGAATGTCTCTGCTTAGACCTTAAAGGGGTATCTCCCGTCACAATACTTTTAAAATACACGACCCCTCCCTATAAGTTATGACAATGCCCACATCCTGCATATATAATACTAGCACTTTCTAGAAAATATTCGCTAATGTCGCCATGTATCATAGATCATCATCTCTCTCATCGTATGCAGATACCCATCGGAATTTACGTGTCGTTGGGAGACATTTATGTCTGGTTTCATGGTAGCTAAGTGGCAAAATGGTGACAGACTGGAACATGGGTGAAGCCGTACCAGCGTTGCGGCTGTTAGTGATAACACAGTCTCGATCGGAGCTGTCCCTCTATTTTGGGGAACGCTCTATCTCTTAATTGATCTATACTATGCATGCACTATACATACTTATGTGCAGAACAAGGCCTGTGTGTTATTGAATAACATTTGTTTGGGCCGCTGATCGGGAGTAACATTGGAGATGTCATGAGTGAATTTTTCATAATTGGGGGTTGTTCTGGTTGGTAAGTCTTCAATCGGCGGGCAGGTTTGTGATTCCGATAGATATTCTTTGTCATCCAATCTCACATCCCCTCTTCCTCTTATTCGGAGGAAATAGTGATACTAGCTACTGTGTTTCCTGTTCCGGGTACTTCTGATTCTCGCAACGAAAGAGTAGGGCGTGTACCACTTTGGCATTGGGTGATGAGCAACTATAGATTTACTGGCTGTTTGCCATACTATTACAGTAAACACTTCAGGACGAGGGGAGCATACACCCCATCTCTCTTCACGCTACTTTAATATAACTTCTAACAACATTAGGCTATACAATACTTTTGAATCCTATGTGTTTATTTTCGCGGTATGTGCATGGAACTATAGTGAGAGAGATAGGAATATCCTTGTGATGTCACAAACTGCCATTATGGTCGGATTGCAAAGGCCGGGATACTCTATCAGCATGGGAAGTCAATTCCAGCATACGATATCAGGACGGCGGCCGCGGAACATATTGCTGGTCCTCAACGTAAATACGAGCGCGACCTTCATTGGGGTGTCCAAGGGAGGTGAGCCCGCGGTTACCGATAGCGAGCACAGTTCCTTGTCCCGGGTTGGTGTAGTTTCCGGGTACATCATAAGTACACACACTCGGCCCTAAGCGACTAAGTGCTGAATGCATAATTTGCACTTGGTCAGGTAGGGCTATCGCACCCTGATACAGAGCACATACAATAAGTGTGTCTGTATGGCTGGAAAAATATTCATCGCGGTAACGCATGTATAAGGCGGTCACTTCTGTCATCAACCGACGAACATTGTTGTCCCCGGCATATGGGTCAGATGCTGATGCTGTCGGGCGAGGCGGAATATGAGCAAGAATAGCACCACGGGACGATGCTATCACAATGGCAGAGCATGCTCCAAGCCCTTCTGTGCCGATAGCAAACATTTCATGTAGTGATACCACTCTGACAGCATTCATCGGCACAACAACCACATTTGCCGGGTGAGCACGCACCCAACGGGCTAATTGCGACATTTTCAATATTCTGCTTAAGGGACCAATTGAGACTTTTTGGTATCTTAGTATACAACCACTCCCTCCCCAAAAAGCACCTATGAACCCAGCTACTTATACTCTCTCGCAGTGCTAAGAACGCTACATGACCGGTATATGCCTTGTGTTCTTGAAGTAGGACCAATCAATGTGGAACTTCTACATTCGTAGCCAGGCATACTCCGACGCGGATTGCAAGTTGGATCGCATGTCCCCTGCGCGCTCGGAAAATCGCGAGTAATCTATATATACAGCGCCGGCCACGTGAGCAGATGTACATCAGCGGCTATTGTGTCACCTTTCGGTATAGTGACTCACCATTAGTTTAAATGCACCGTGCGCGCCAGCCATCCGAGCTAAGCTCCAACTACTTACGACTGCTCCAGAAATATATTCATCACAGAGTCTTTGACAACCTCGAACGGTTATGAACGTACAACCTGCTTCAAGATCGCCCTCGCCTTCCATCTGGGGTGAGATTTATCAAGTTCCGGGCCGGACCTCTCGGGACATCCTTCTGAGAGCAAGAGAACTATGCCTCAATGGGGATATTCAACAATTTTGCGACCTCCTCGACTCGGCGCAATCGTCGTCGAACTTCCATATAGATGACTTTGGTATTATCATGGGGCAGGCTGTGGAACAAGACAATGTGGATTTCATGCGGGCGCTCATGGATCATGGTTTTCCCACACATTCAATCTACGCTCGGAGCGCAACTAGGTGCAGATCCAAGAATGCGCTCGCTTTCCTTATTGAAAAAGGATTGGATATCAACGAGCCAATGTGCGAGACCCAACCCCCCATCCTAGGGTGAGTCCATACTCCAATCTTCCGCGATTTAACGCCCTATTAATCCCTCCTAGAATTGCCATAGAAAACGAAGAGATGGTATCTTGGCTTTTGGATCATGGTGCCGATCCCAATAAACGTACATTTATAGACGTTTCCCCGCTTTCGTGGGCTGTTGAAAGAGCCCCCATTTCCACTATCCGCCTAATGTTGGATTATTGCCAGAATATCCAGCCAGGCCAGCTGCTTCATCATGCTGTTCAACGCGATGCTGACACTATTGAAGTGTTGGAAATTTTAATTGAAAAGGGGGCGCCTTTGAACACTCCTGTGCACGAGGACCTCCCAACCTTCTCGGTTTTGTGTTTTATGTCACTAGGAACACCTCTGCACCGGGCATCTGAGCTCGGAAGAGTGGATGTGGTACGCTACCTCCTTAGCAAAGGAGCCGACCAGGATGTGAGAGACAGTAGAGGACTTACAGCTATTGAGCTGGCTGCTAGATTGAATCAGCAAGCAGTGGTTGAGGTGCTGCAGAGGCGTGAAAGCGGCAGAAACCCCGTTCACCACCCCTAATTGTACTCCTTAGATCAATGTAATCAATTTTGCTATTCCCTATTATAATAGCATCACAATCGTAAATTAATTATCTCCTGACTAATTGATAGCCACCCGTTCAATGACCGATCCAGTAAATCATGGCTGGTAGTGCGAATAAAGTCACTTTTCTAAGGATGCTATACTCCTTGTTTCTCTAGGAATCATGTATTGCTATTGATGACGAAGGGGCACAGCAAGACAGTGGAGACTTCTCCAATAGTATCTGAACATGAAACCAGGAAACATATGGATCGGTGAGAAGTCAGATATGCATACTAATTCAACGGCTATGCTCTAAACCTTTCTGAAAATCAATATGATGATCTTCAAACTAATTTTCAGTGGTACAGCCTCTACCGACTCCGGAAGATTCACCGTGGTGGAGACCAAATTCATATTCCGTGCAGAAAAATTGGAGCTTCTCATCTCCTTTTAACGATCCGGGATGTCTCGGAGAAGTAGCGAGCCAACTTTTAGTCGGTGGGGGCAAATTTAATAGTCTTCCTAAGGGTCTTGGCTAGCAGCATTTAAAACCGTGGTTCACTGTGTGTAACCCCTGCTTACTACTGCACAACCATTTTTCTCTAAACGCGTGGTCTCACTGCCATCTTTTCAGTCACTATGCCAAACATCATTCCCACCCTAGATTGCCTACCCGTGGAAGTCCAACGGCTGATTTGCCTGTGTGTAAGTGCATGGATGGGATGGTGATAACTACACAAACATAAATTCAGAGAATAACAGGTCGTCGATTACTCATGGCATGATTTGGCCGCTCTAAGTCGAACATGCCAAGGTTGGCATGATCTCGCAGCTGCGGAACTCTACCGGAATCTTCGAGTTGCATTCTTCGACCACACAGATCTTCTCAATGCCATGTCTGAGCTTCGCACCATGGCCTTGGTCGCCAGTACCTACGGTATGCACGAACCTTCGAACTTGTTTGTCTCGAGGAGCCGTGGCTGGAGACTAAAACAGCCAAGCGTCTTTGGCATAATAATAATTGGGCAAATAAGTTTGTTCTCTTCAATCCTTGAGCCACTGCAGACACCCTCATCCAGCACTCATTGTTGGAAACCAGAGACCTCTCTCTTGGATTCCTCAACTTGGCTGTCGCATATTACCGGCAGCAGGACTGGGAGCCGATCATTTAGCCTCCTTTCGAGATTGAGGTATCTTCGGCTACTCAGCTACGCCATGCGGAATATGTTTCCTACTTGCCTTTATCAGGCCCTTCAACGGCTACACCCAGCCTGCCAACTGGATGTATGGACGCCTCAGTCTCCGACCCTTGATTTACCAGGTCTAGGACGCTCCCACCCTTGCGTTGGTAGCCAATTCAAACAGCCTTTTGACCTTAACATCCTGCGTTCCCCCGCACTTCATACCATCAACGCAGTCTATACACTGGACAGGGATGCTGAGCAGGGCTGGATTTACAACGACGAAGCCTTCCGCTTTGTCTGTATGGCTCCTAATCTTAAGCACTTGCTGATCCATGATATGTACGGCCGGAATGAAAACCCCATCACCAAGGTTAAGGAAGAGTGGCAGGAGTTTAGTCTAAATACAAAACCATCCTCGTTCACAGCCGGCATAGAAACCTTGACTTTCATCGACTATGACCCTCACAACCCGCATGAGCGCATCCTTCTCAATATCTCGACCATGCTCAACCTGTCCAAATCTCAGATCCCTTGACATGGGAGTCCATTCCGAGCCGGCAATGTTGATCAAAGCCGCCTCGATTATGATCCATTTGGAACTTCTTTACATCAATATGCTTCCCTGGAAAAAGCAAATGAAGATCCTCTGGGACGTGGATTATGAGGATGCCACATGGGATATTGAAGACATGATATCTGCTGTGCGAGGATTCAGGCCCCTGCGCTTTCTGTGCCTGCGGGGATTGCGGAGCTTCGCCTCTGTAAGCCGCATTGTCTCCCACCACAACACATTGGCGGGCCTAAGTATTGAGTCCTCCGATAGGCAGCGACAAACACCTCAAGAAGGGCTTAAATATCCCATCTCCATCAGCGAACACGTTCGGTTAATAGCAAACTTGTGCCCACGGCTCGAGGAAGTCCGTATGCCACTTCAGCGTTCACAGGGTAATGCTAAGGAGTGTGAATTTTAAAAAGCCCTTGGGCTACTTTCGCGCCTTCATACCGTTTTTCTTGATCTTGACTGCGATCCTAGACATACACCACTGCGGGATGAACTGCCTAGTTCCGCGTGCCTCCGGGAAATTCTCATCAACTCCGCCATCGACGAACGTCTCGTCACAGAGATCTTTAACCTTGTCTTCTTTAACCAACGGACACGTAGGATCAAAATCATGCGCGTGAAACTCGCCATAGGAGACGTCTTTGTACGGGAACTAGAACATGTAGTTCGGCAACTCGGTCGATCATTTCTCGTCACACGAAAGGACTTCTACATCAATGAGGATGTGCTAGTGGATGTTACGGAGGTTGGACGAGTCGCATGGCAGCTATGGCGCGAGGACGATATTGGGTATATCGGGTCCATCCATATACCTAAAGAAATAAAAGCTATTCTGGAGGAGTACTGGCCACTGCAGTCAGATAGCAATCGGAGTAAAAAATGGAATGAGTTTCCGTTGCTGGTCAGAAGCTTACCCTTGGAGAGTGTGTAAGGGAAAAATACTATGAACAAAGGAACGGGCAGGAGTGGCTTTTTACTGGTGATAGTGTAGGCCTCGTTGTGGTTCCCGCATCAGGTTTATATTCATACTTGCATCATTGTGAAACTGCTTAAAGCCTGAAATGGTCTTTATTGTCACTTCTTTAACTTTCCATTCATGGGAATCCATACTTTCATGTGGCGGACTTGAAATGCAATTCAAATATAGTGTAAGTGTGGGGGCTACTAACTAGAAATGAAAAATACTACCAGTGCAAGTTGGTTGCCCGCATAAAACGTCGGTGAAATGGACAGAAGAATATTTATCCGGTAACAGATTTCTTGAGATGGTAATAAGTATATATTTCGAAGCACTCATCACGTTCATCCGTCTATCGCAAGTGGATTACAAGGATATCATGTCCACAATGATGAATTGGGAGGGTAAAGCCCAGAGTTACAGAAGATCGGGATGGGGCGCATAACATTGTTAGGAGTCAGCCGTCAGTTTCTCCCCCTCTCGCCATCAACACCTTTATTGTTGCAGTGTCATGATAGACATGGGCTCTCCCTCATGTCTTGTTAACTAATTATAGCTAATTTTCGCAATTTTAGAGCCACTCCTAAATTGAACCAGGAAGCAGTCGTTGTAGTGTTGCAGGTCCATTGCGAGGACGCTAACATCTGAGAGGTTGTCTCGTGAACATACCTTTCTTCATTTCCCACTTTTTCTATCTGTATGCAGTTTTCTCACCACGTCCCAGTCTGGTCGGTCCACCCTTCCTATCAATATGCTATTCTTGGCGTAGGAGATTGTAGCGCACAGGCTGTTTGGCCGGTATTGCTTCAGCGCTTAAATATATTCCAGGAACGAAAGCGCAGTGCAAGGGACTGATCTTTCCTTCAATACATCGCGATGAAAAGCACAGCGTACATGTGGCCTGGCAGAATCTCGGCCATCTCCAGCCCTGCGGGTAAGTGTCTACCTATTTATGTTTACTATGGGCAGGGGTCAGGATTAAGCTATTGGGCAGTTGATATGAAGTGGAATCAGCTCCCATTGTTGGCCAGAGGTTATCTCTTATGGTGCGTGTAGTGGTGTACACATCATTAGTACCCATGCCATTCGTTGAATCTCTTGTTCGCAGGAGACCCCCATGCGACCTTTCCCCATTGCGTCATTTGTCTTTGTTCGCGGCCAAGGGCTTTCAGTAGCTGTTACTGTATATGAAAACGGAACCTGTGGATTACAGAGCAAATGGTAGGTCCTCCTGCACAACATATGTTATTTACACTCTTTTCCAAAGTAATGCTCTTCGATAAGCTCTCAGAAGCAAGCAGGCATGTAAAATCAGGGAGTTGGCATATACAAAAGCTCAATAGCAGTACAAGAAATCAACAAGTGATATTATGAGGCCTGTAACGGTGACCATTGGAAGGTCTATGGCTTCTGTGGCATTCGTGCTTCGTAACCCTTCAATGCGCGAACCACAAAGGCAAAAAGGAGACGACGGAAAGTCATGCCTGATGTGCGCCCGCTTTCGTCGAAGTAGAACCCACGTACGGGTTTCGTTGTTTGCCACAGAAAACTGAATAGAAACATTGCACTGTAGTCGAAGATCGCCACATACGGACAATGTTCTGAGTACTTGTGAGCTTGCTTCGAGAGCCAAACGGCATTGCGCTGAAGCAGTGTTAGGCTTTCTGTATCCATAGCCCTCGCCGTTTTAGCTTGGAAGTTCTGCTCGTTGACGGCGGCGCGCTGGAAATCATCTCTATGTATAACGTTTGTATTTTTGATCTCTAGGATAGCGAGCCGAGACAACAGAGCACCTTGTGTGTTGTATAAAGACCATTCGACATCGAGGCGGCTTGTACTACTTGTAGTAGACTCAGTACGACAAATAATTCGAGTCCCTCTAGGACATGTCTGCTGCAGCGCAATATTGACAGGATGGATAAGCTGCAGCGTGGCTAGCCGCAGGACATCGGCTTCAGCCTCCAGTAGATGTGTTTGTTCTAGGACTGGCATTCGGGCGTTCAATGGGCTACCAGCGCCAATTCTTGGGAAGTAGCGATCGAATAATTTGTGATAAGTGTCAATCTCCTCCTCAAAATAGACTGCAACTGGGTCTGACTCGATTGTAGAGGAAGCCGTACTTCGAATAAAGCGGTATGGTTCACTGTATGCATATGCCACTTCGGTTGGTAGTTTTTCATTGAAGGCCGTGACAATTGCTGACGAGCTAGGATTCATGATAACTGAATAATGGAACCTAGGGATATGTATATTGGAGGTCAAACGAGGATATCTCGACCCGGGGTATTCAGGCAAACTTCGAGGCTTTCTAATGATTATGATTATATTATATTCAATTTCACAATGTTGAAGTGGCACCCCGAGCAATTTATTATCGAGTATTCTTGTCAAGCACCGGGGATGGCTATTGTTAGACTACATACACACCTTGAGTAAATGGCGGCTACCTGTGCAAGTTGATTGGTGTCATTATATTAGGCACACCACGAGTATGTGTGACAAGTAACACTAAATCATTGGTTGTTACCGCCTTTGTGACAGAACTTGCAGAGAATTTGGAACGGCGCTTGGAAAATCATTAAGCCGGCGGGCGAGCCAGGGGCGAACCGCCGGGTTCCCGTTCCTCTCCAAAGGCCAGAGTGTGCGTTGCAAATTGTCTTCGATCAGGGGCTTCAGACTAGATCAAGACAAACCGCAGTGGCAAGTGAATTAAACCATGATCTATCTCCAGCAAAATGTACCTTTGTTCGATACCCCGTCTACAGAGCTCCCCAAGCCTCCGGTGCCATACACTACTGGATGGAGGTTCACTGCAGAGTCTCATAACGTCTCAACTCCAACGCTAGTTACCAGAGGCTGTTGCACGAGTAGTGAAAGCGACAAGCTAGAAAGAAAGCAAATGAGTCCAGTCGAACGATGTCTTCAGCGACCGCCGTTACCCGGGAGTAAAGGGAATGATGCCGTTAGCCTGGAAGTACTTAAGCTTCTAAAAGGGGGCGATGGCCACAACTCGCAAGTATTCACTGTCCGGCTAATCGCGTCAACCTCTCAATCACTCCCAAAGGATGGTGCAGAACTTGTTGCAAAGATATATGACCCGCTTTATTTTGACGATGATGAAGGTTATCTCAACCCATTTCTCTGCATGGACAAATACTACACCCACGAAGCCAATGCGTATGAAGCCCTTGCCGATTTCCAAGGTCACGGTATCCCGAAATATTTTGGGTCATACTCCTTAGATATATCCGTTGATTCAACACGTAAACGGACAGTTAGAATGATTCTCATCGAATATATTCGGGGAACCACTATGGCAGATGCTAAACCAGCATTGTTCTCTCAGTCTGCCCGTCAACATATTATGAAAATAATTGTCGACCTCGAAAGCCGTATCTATGAAAAGAATATCTGGCTTATTGACCTAGAGCCACGGAACATTCTCATCAGATCTGCAGTGGATAGCCAGCCTCAGATAGTGTTCATTGATTTTGGACATGCTCTGTTCAACCGTCGACGAGACGATCCTCTTGCAATGCAGCTGAACAATTTTTTGGGGCATTATATTTCTCCTCTTCTCCGTTGGAAGGATGCTAAAGCAAAATCATATGCATTTTCAGATTGGGTCGATTGGGACTGGGATTGTTGGCTGGAGGTACAGTTTGCACAGACAGTTCCTAGCATCACACCGGAGATGAGAGAGCGGTGGTCCGATTAATAGGAGTGATAGGCTTTCTTAGGTGTTGAAAATATCTATACGCTGAAGGGCGCCCTGATAGCTTGCATGGAGATTGGAGTATGCCCAGGGTTTCCTCGAATGCACGTCTATCTGAAAGAGCATGGAGCTTCAGATACAAGAGTCTCTCCAGATTCTAGGGTCTAAGGTTCGGCGTAGAAATGCCCCACGAATCTTGGGGCTTTGTTGCGGGACACTGACGAAATATACCGTTATGCGCACCCATGTTATGTGCAATATCAATGATCGGCCGAGCGATCTGATCATGGAAATTGTTGACCATCAAAAGGAGATCCCGGGAATGGGCGTACCTATTTAGACATGTCACGAGTCGTAAGGTAGCTCTACTATATCCCATTTCGTAAATTGTCGAAGTTATTTTCGTTTGCTGTTAACCTACTTCGATCATCATGAATGTGTTCATTAAGAATCCCGCCTGCGCCCTGGTTGGATGTGTCGGACAGAGGAATCCCTCCTTGCTTCAACTTGGTGTAGATGTCGTCCCAGAGTGCCATTAATGGCCATAGCATTCTGTGGGACTGGGTCAGGGCGGCCGAGAGGGATGTAGTATCTGGTGGCAAGATGATAAGGGATTTCTCGTCTGTCCGAGGTACTTTGTGGGTAGTCTTGGATGTGCTCGCCAGGAATATTACGATCAAATATTCAAGTGGGTTATAAGATTGTTGGTAGTCTGAGAAGGTGATATTCGCGCGTACTCTGAGGAATAGAATTTTCGTGTTAACCGTTATACCTTAACCTAACCTTAACCGTAACCTGACGGGTAGGTTAAGGTATAAAAATCTATTAACCGTCAGGTATAACGGTTAACATACCTGATCAGGCAGATATCAGGCAGGATCAGGTATCAGTCTAACTATATTAGGCTAGCTTAGGCAGAAACCAGGCAGAAATCAGGTATATATATATATTGCTACCTTTTACCGCCTTCCTAAATAAGAAAGGATCGGCAAATCAGGTTAACCGCGGTTAACCTAGGTTAGGTATATATATATTTTATACCTAACCGTTAACCTGACGGAAGGTATAGATTTTCCCATTAACCTACCCTACCCTGGCCGTTAACCACTCTAACCTGTATGCATAAGGCTATGCCGATACATCCCTGCTTTCTCGGGCCATTCCAGCCTAGATCCATCCAGATTCCCGCAAAGAGATCTGGCAAACTTCCCTATTTCCACAGGTAGACATAGCATCATGGATATTAAAACCTAGAATTGATCGAATACTAAGCAAATATTACTCCGTAGCAGCTTGCAATTCCTTGATATACCCACATAGCTACAATAGCGGCCCGCTATTCTGCAATCACAGTTAATTCACAGATTATCTATACGTACTTTCTACACCGTTTCTTTTCCCATTTTGGCATGTTCCGCACTGCGATTTCAAGTCAGGTGTGTAACCAGCCATACCAACAAATTCAGTAGGTATACATCTTATACGAACGGCTTCTCATTTGCAACGATACATGCTCAGTCACGCATATCATAGTATCCGTCGTCAAAGGTCTTAAACTCCTTCTGATGACTCGGGTAATGTCCCGTCACAAATCCGCCGTTTTCCGCCAACAATGAACCCGCGTGCGGATAAACATCGGTGCCTCCAAAGTAGATCTGCCTAGGCTCGTAGCTAAAGGCTTAGTACATATTAGCTGTGAAAGGGGGACATAACATGGATGGCAGGCGATGTCAGATGCCTTGTAGTTTTCTGTGTCAAGGGATCTAGGATCAGGACAGGGAAGTGCTCGATTGTATGCTACTCTAGCATCTATCTAAATCCTCAATAAGCCCATGTATGGAAGCCAGTGGCAATATGATCACGGGGGCAGCACAGGTACCCGAGGATGTAGGGCTACAATGAACGATCTGACTGGATATCAACGAATTATTTCCGGTGAAAATAAATCTATCGTTCTAGAGGAGTAACGCAAAGCCTTGTGAGTAGTAGAGTTTGATGGAGTCATCACGGAAAAGCCAGAGAGGCAATATGAAGAATTTGGGGGACAAAGGAGGTGGTACTTCCCACCCACCTTGCATCTGCTGGCGCTGATAGTGGCCAAAAAGGAACATTTAATTGACCATCGTTAAGCAGGAACCCTGAATCTTCCCATCTACCTCTCCTTATCTATTGTCTGCTACCGCTTTCTATCCTATTTACACCGTTTACTCCTCTATTCCTAGTTATCCTAAGTCCTGTTCTCTTTCGGCCTAGCTACCAACTTTAAACCGTCGTACGTGACTCCATATCTGGCAGCTCTCTTATATTCCTAGACAACCTCCATATGCTCCTCTGTCGCCTTCTCCTCAACCTGCAACCCCCCATGCGCACCCTGCAGTCGACCATTCTTCCTCATATCTCTAGCCGCAGGAACCGGCTGAAATATGTTTTTACTATCAAGGAAGATATTGTCAATGGCCTCTAGGTGCAGACTCTTCGTCTCGGGAAAGAAAAAGTACACCACTATTGACATCAGCATCACATGACCAAGGCAAATGAAAGATGAAGACAAGAACATACTTGGCACAAGCAAGACCAAATTGATGGCTGCATAAACGATAAAATACTTCCAGCCCAAGGAGCTGAACCCAGTAGGCGTGACCTCAACAACCAGGAAGTTAAATGTCCACGACGACGCCGTCGACATGCCGGTAATCTGTGTCCGAACAGCCAGTGGTGCGATCTCGGAGCAGTAGAGATACGTTAAACCAATGCACCCATTAACGTAAAAGAACACGTAAAGGAAAATGAATGCAACCGCGGTATGAACGGCGGCTGTATTGGATGGCTGGGAGATGCACCCTGCCATCACGGCCATGCATATGCCCATCCCACCAAAGGCGATAAGTAGCAATTTGCGTCGTCCAGCCTTGTCGATAGTCAGGGTGCCGATGGGGGCAATCAGCATTTTCCTGTTACCTTAGCACTATTTTCACAATGAGGAGCGATAATGAAGGAGGGGCACACCATGTGAAAAGAACCGCGGACATAAGCAACGATAGAGTCCCGTCCATACCAAGATAAGTCTCGAATATAGTCGATTGGTAGAAAGTTATCGCATTGGCCCCGCAGATCTGTTGCCCCATCTGCAATGAGACAGCGATGAACGCCCGGTTGGCGAATCGTGCCGGTCCGTTCCGAAAGATATCCTTAAAGGAGCCCTGTCCGGTTTCCTGAAGCGATGTTTCAATTTCTTCGATTTGGTGAATGATACCGGGGCTGTCGACGGATTCATCGCGGAGCATAGCAAGGACATTGCGAGCGTCGTCAATGCGACCCTTTTTGATCAACCAACGTGGCTGCCCTATTAGCATTCACGTATAACGTAATAGTGGGAGTTTAACGTACTGAATCCGGCCACACGGGAGCCCAGAATAGGGATACTAGACAGAGAAAACAAGGAAATGCAAGAGGAAGTCTCCAGGTCACCGATCCCTCTGTGAACGCGAGCCCGTATTCCAGCCACCCGGCAAGTGCCAGCCCAGTACACAGAAAGATACTCTGAAACATGACAATAAATCCTCTTAACCGGGGCTGAACGGTCTCACTCTGCCTGTATAAATCGGAATCAGCGTGGGAAAATCCAACTTGTACAATGGGAGTGGTCCTCATACCAATTCGGCCCAGTAGCAGTCACGCCACCAAACCCGAATCCAGCAACAAACCTCCCGATGGTTAACTGGGGCAAGGAGAATGCACTCGACTGGAGTATTGAGCCGACGATTGTAATCGCCAGACCCAGCATGAACGTTCTCTTACGACCAAGGATATCACCCACCACTATACAACTAAGGGCACTGAAAAGACAGCCCAAGTTGAAGATTGCCGTCACCGTGCCTTTGATTCGAGAGTTCTCTGCTTCTCTGGAGCCTGTCGTATTGACAGTGTCCATCTGGGGAAATGTGTGTACCCATGACTGCCGAGTTTCGATGCCCGATGTCACAGCCATGAGATAACCGAAGCAGATGTAGGCCGGGAGAATGACCGTACAGATGTGCCCGATGTTGAGTTTGGTGCCGCGGAGACCTAAAGTAGGCTTCATTTTGGCGTATGAGAAAAGAATTGTTGGAATAACGTGTTTATGCGTATATGGATCAGTCTTGGGAAGGGGAGGAGGCAGAAAAAGAAGACTACCGGCAAAACAGAATAGCTCTGAGCGAAGGCATTAAGGGGGCCTCGTTTTCCCCTACAGTCTGATGTGGATATCACTGCCATTTCACCACCTTGCCAGACCCATATATTCTCGTCCGGGGAATCGGGGACCCGTCTTCTGTATTGTGGAGGAAACCCGGAGGAGTTGTGGGGGCACGGGGAGCTTGAAGGCGAGTTATACCGAGCATAACATCCCTTCAGCGAGTTGGAAGCCTGGGATCGAGTGCGGTCCATATCATCTGTAGAAGCTTGACTGTTTTGGATGATTTCACTGTGGATCCGGGCCTTTTCCGCGCCGGTCTGTCAAGTCCGTTGCTTTTCCGACAAGCGCTAGATAGGACGCTCACGCGTAATGACGGACGGAACCTTGTGCGCTGATGAAGGCGAGGAAGCCAATGGGAAGATAAATATGCGACACTACCATGACGTTTCCCAGTTCCCATGTATTTGACGAATTTGCTCAAGTGAATAGCAGGCTTTCAGGAAACAAGGTATGTCAGTCGGTACACAGCTTGCACTAGACATGACCATAAATGTACCAACGCTAACTCAACAATTTTCAATGTAGAGCTTCATTTTGTAGCTCACTGAGATTCACCTCAGTCTCCTTCAAAATTGGGCATTGGCGAGAAGTAAGAAAACGATGGGCGTAACGTGGACTGCAACTTGGGGGTTAAGACTCAGGCTGCCTCCTAGTTGCCGATGTGAATTGCTTACGATGACCATAAAGAGTGACTGGCAGATCGCCGCAGTCAATGCTAGGCTTTACTCAGAAGAACCCTCGTGTCAAGGGATACCGCCGCTTCGTGTAAGTCTATTATTATTCCTATCGAAAAATCTGCAGTTGCACAACATGGCTGTCCTGTCACATAAAAAGCGTCAATAACCCGGTTATCCTATTGGTTCGCTGTTTGATCTAGCTTGCCCTTGACCAGATTAGCCAATAGCAAATCACGATGTCCTTCAACCTTCTTCAGGTCGACTTGCGATATCCACCCATTGACATTCTTTTTCAAGCCGTTCACTTGATCCTCGGATCCCAAGTCAAATTTGTTCACCGCCATATCGTCGAGCCACGATTTCAACGCCGGTCCCAGATGATCCATGAAATGGGTAAAGTCTCCCCCTCCCCCGAGAGTATTTGTCATTATCGGCCCTGTCAGTGCCCAGCGCAGACCGAGACCGGACGTGACGGTTTTGTCTATATGCATTAAAATCGCCCGCACATGCCAGTAGGGAGGGAATTCAGTACTCACCAAGATCTTCGGCGGAGACAATTCCTCGTGATACGAGACTGTACGCTTCGGCGCAGATGGCGGCCTGTAGCCGATTGGCGATGAAACCAGGCGTTTCCTGATGTACGACCACCGGCTCTTTGTCCAGGCTTTTGTAGAAATTGTATGCACCCGTCACATAGTCTTGACTTGTTCCTGGGTGAGGGACAACTTCGACGAGAGGCACCAAGTGAGGAGGGTTGAAGGGGTGGCCAATAAGGATTCGAGATGGGTTGTTGGAGCATTCAGTGACAAATTCTGACGAAGGAAGGCCGGAGGACGAAGATGCGATGAGGATATGAGGAGGTGTCTTTGCGTCCAACTGTGCAAATAGACGGCGTTTAAAGTCCAATCTCTCCGGTCCATTCTGGCATGATTGTTAGTATTGATGATGAGGCGCAAGATGAGTTCTGTGGAACGGTCGCTTACTTCTTGAATCAAGTCTAGGCTTCCGAGGTAAGACTCAATGTCCCTGACAAATGTGTAATTCTTCAGACAAGCGGCAGGAGCAACCGTAGCATTCGGTACCTCGGAGCAATAGTCCTGCAAGTAGTCGCGCAGTTTTGCCTCGGCTCCTGGCGCTGGATCTGTTACAATCACTTTGAGGCCCTTGGCCAGGAAGAGTGCTGTCCAGCTGGCTCCGATGACGCCTGCGCCGATCACACCCACGGTTTGAATCGAGGAGGACATTGCAAAGTTCTGTGAGTCTGCGCTCTGCAAATTGAGCCTGAAAGGTGTTTAGTATCTGTCCTTTAATATATCCACCAACGTCGAGTGGCAGTCCACCAGCTTCTACTTTGGTGGTGGTTTGGTGTTAATATCACGGAATCTATATGCACTTACCTAATCGGGTAATATGCACCTCGGAAGGGCCCGAAGTTGATGACGACGATCATCAGAAGAGGCGTTCCAGCAGTCCCAGTGATCGGGATTCACGCGGCGTTCAACCGGGTTTTGCTCGGAATGACATAATTCATCAGGGGCGAGTTGCCACTTTGGACCACATCTAGCGGGTTCCGTGGTTTCGGCTTGCCGATATTTACACTTTCCGCGAGTTCGGGATGCCAATTTTAAAACATCGGAATGAATTTAGATGCGGGACTTACGATATTCAACGGTTTGATGGATCTAGTGTGGAGAAAGGAAGTGAATGATGGCTGTATACTAATAGTCACTGTATCCTTGAGTCTTTAGATCCTTCCCTGCTCTACAAACACTTTAGTACTCGCTAATTCTCTTATATCATTTGCTTTCCTGTACCCTTCTAACACACTTCATGATGGCTTCCCACGAAACGACGCCAAGTGGAGACATTTACGGTCCTGGGACCTTTGTCGATAAGGAATTCCTTCCCGCGCCCCAAGATGCTAGTCGCATCTTCGAGTATATTGCCAAGCGCACGCCTGGGTTCACTCAAGACCAAGAGCTGTGGAAGACAGTCAGCTTCACTGGCTGCGAGTTGCCTGTTATCCCTGGCCCGACCAAGGCTCCTCTTGTCGCCGCTGCCTTACATGCCATGTGTGGTGTTGTGGCCCACGAGATCATCGAAGATCGCGATGGTAGTGCAGCCCAGGATCAGACGGTGAAGGTGAACACCGATCACGCGGCCATCTGGCTGGGGACGATCTTTGCGGCGTCTGTCGAAGGAAAGGACATGCCTGAATTGGTACGGTCGCGCAAGCTACCGTCCCTTTTCGAGCGTGATTTCGAGAAGGGCTGGCAAGCAACGCCTTTGAGACAACGGTCGACTGCGATCTACAAGACCAAGACGCCAGGAGTTTGGTATCAGATTCATGGCTCCCTGGATGCCGCGCCTGTTCTGCGTGCTCTAGGGATGGATCCCGAGTACCCGGCCCAGACGCCGGACGAAGCCTACGAGTACATCAGTAAGCATGTCCAGCAGTGGACTGCAGATGAGCTCGAGATGCTCAACGTCAAGAACGGATTTTGTGGTAGTATCTGCTTTACGCCGCAAGGGTGGGCGGATACACTGATGGGAAAACGACTTGCAGAGCATCCGCTGGTCGGCTACTCGCGTCAGTCGCATGCGATCCCAACTCCACCCGTTCCTTTTGCCACGGTCGCGAACGATAAGCGGCCACTCGCAGGCATCAAGGTGATAGAGCTGGTGCGTATCATTGCTGGTCCAGTGATTGGCAGTACTCTGGCCGCACTTGGTGCCGACGTCATACGTGTCAACTGCAGTCGCTTGGTGGATCTCAATGTATGTTCCATGTCTGCTTTGGATTCGTTTGCAACATGGCGTATTAATTCGGAACCCAGGTCTTGCAACTCACCCTCAATGCTGGCAAACGCACCATAGATCTCGATCTGACCAAGGAGGAGGACAAGTCACGCCTGCGGGGACTCATCGAGGGCGCAGATGTCTTTGTCCAGGGCTTCCGCCCCAACGCAATCGCGAGAAAGGGATTTGGTGTCAATGATCTTCTCGAGATGGCCGGTAACCGTGGCAAGGGCATCGTCTATGTTGAGGAGAACTGCTACGGCCCCGACGGCCCCTACCACGAGAGACCCGGCTGGCAGCAAATCGGAGATGCGGCGTCTGGTTCGTCGTACGTGATGGGTCGGTCCTTGGGCTTCAAGGATGGGACAAGCGTCCTACCCCCACTGCCCATCTCTGATATGACAACCGGGCTTGTGGGAGCGTTGGGCGCACTTATGGCTCTCCGCGATCGCTCCCGACACGGCGGTTCGTACCGCGTGACGAGCTCGTTGGTCAAGGCTGATACAATTAATCTCGAGCCTGAGATCGGGCTCTACTCGCCCGAGGTTGTTGAAAGATGCAGCCAGTTGTTCAAGTGGGGACACATCGGGCCGTCGCAGTTTGTAACCGAAATCTTGCTGGTTGTCATGGATGGGTGGAAGAGTGTATTCCCTCAATACTTCAAGGCTGGTCCTGAATCGCTGCTCTCCAGCTTTGGGGAAGGACCCTGGGGTGAGATGGAACTCTTGAAGCCTGTGGTTCAGTTGAGTGACCCCAGTGTAACGCCTCGTTGGCTGACACCGGCTGTGCCTAATTGCTACCATGATCGTAACATCAATTGGCTGTGAATCTTAGATCCTGATGCACCCATAATTTGGAGCTTCAAACCCATCTTTGACACATGCAATCGCAGGGTAATCGCGGCGCGTTGCATCCATTCCTTTTGCAATATACTAGCGTTAATTTCCTTTCTGTATCACAGACCATTTTGGTTTTGTCTTTATCCAAAGAATGTAAAGCGAACCTCTTTTTCGCCACTCCGCGGGGGCTTTTTCGAGATTTATAAACTGTTGCCAGTAGGTAGCCGATCGGCACCGTACACTGTTGACGCACAAAGGGTCCTTAAGGATCAATGCCTAGGCCTACAGGCTCCAACTTTGAGTGAGCGGTGTGTCGTCGCCGAGCTGCGCGAAGAACATGGGCCAATTGTTCCAATCGAAGGTATAGTTCTCCACTATTCCCAAATCATCTCCTATGATTGGTGGACACTCTTGAGCACACATGACGAAGTCCTGCATGGATGTGTTCTCATGAGCTCTGTCAACTGGTAACGCTTCAGAGGGCCCAATATTCGTTATTGATTCCCGCCTACCAATGCTCTTATCAATCAGATTTAATGCAGAACGGCATCTCGATGCCAGCGTGGTGTGTCTCTCGTAATCCTTGAGAATGTTTCGAGCATGTTGCAGAATGTCCTGCAAGCTAGCCGCAGAAAAGTACTCTACAAGCTGCGGGGATGACTGGGCGGCAAGCAAGTTTGTTACAGCCATATAGACGTCTTCCTGGGTTAGCTGGTAAATTTTGCTTCCTTAGGGGAAGTTGCAACGTACATGAGACAGTATACCAATTGGATGGTAAGATATACGCTTGTTTCTGCCCCGGTGAGTTCCGGAGGATGAATTCAATCATGTCGACGGCCGCCTTCGTGCAGTTCACCTGGCATTGGAAAACCACGTGGGGCATAATCTGGTCATCGCCTGCATAGAGACCGGTGGGAGCACTTTCTGCCTTCTGTTGATGGATCTGTAGAAGCAATATCCTGAACAGCAGAAGCCGGACTGAAAGATACCTTCGTGTACAAGAGACGTCAGTGGTCATGTTTATGACATGTTTGTCAAGGTCGAAGTAACAGACCTGGCGCGTAGGATATTGGCTTCACGAGTGATGTGCTTGGTTGGCGTTGGATCCTCCAGTTCCGACGGCATCTGAAAGAAGGGATGTAGACCATGAGCCCAGTGTTTCAAACCAGAATCGATGCGAAATAGGCTCGCAAATTTATCGAAAAGAACAGCGCAGCTCCCCTCACGGTCGTTGCGATTTTCGGAAACATGATGTCGCGCCGTGCTATCATCGATGGAGTAAAATGTCTCCAGTACTTCTGCTATGATGTGATGTAGTCGGCAAAATGATATGTAGAAGTTTAGTTTCGATGGTAGGCTGGGGGTTACAGTATCCCCATTGGATTCCTCGGAATTGAGCACCAGCGCGTTCAGCCCTTCTTGTGCAACAGATCGAGGAACTTTGAGGGGGCAGCCGAAAGTCATGGCACAGATTCTAGAATGGCTTCAGCGTATACACTCGAACTTCCAGCTCTGGTGTCATACCTGTCCATAATAACGCATCCATTCCATACCTGGCACGCCAGGTTTCGGTCTTTTGGGTTGTCCATCCCCTGCGTTGTTTCAGGAATATGTAATCCGAGTTCCTGGGCGACATGAATCGCAGTCCCAATAATCCGGAAGCACTTCTGTGGCTCTTTTTCATGCTGGAGATAAACAGCTGTGAGCAACAGTATCTGAATAATTTCGATGTTGTACATGTCCATCAGATTGTAAGACATCAGCGCCTGAGCTCGGTCGAAGAACACAACCGAGGACTGGTAGCGGTCAAGCGGGGTTGCCCCTTGAGATGCGACACAAGATGTGGCGAACATGAGATTCAGAAGGCAATGGAGGACGGTCTCGTCCATCATCAGTTCACCGTCATGAACCCATAGGGTCTCGTATGCGTTCTCAATTGAAGGTCGGTCTAGCCAGGGGTAGGCGCTGTCCACATAGTCCCAATAGAGGCTCAGAAGCTTGTCTGCCTGCTTCCTTGGTGGAACAGCAAATTGCACATCGGTGTGTGCTTTCTGGGTACGTTTATGCAATTTCGGCAGACATCTCAGTGCTTTTGGTAGACCTGGAGTCCGTATTTGTCTTTGGTTGGTAGGGGTACTTGCTGCGCCTGGCTGACTTCCGACATCTCGAAGAAAGTGTGCACCACTGGATGCACCAAATAAGCCGCCGGTCGGGACAGCTTCACTGAAGCTGCTGGCAGCATCGTCATTATCATTGGCTTGTGCTTGTGGGTAGTCTTCCGGTAGTTGCTCAGTTGTGCGGCTTGACTGCTCACTCATATCACCCTCACGGTATTCACAGGCTGTGGTATACGAGGTTCGTTTCCGTCTCAGGCAGGGACCGCAGACTAATGCACGATGAGCCTAATTTAGTTCTCCACCACGTGTGACAAGCAATGTTATTGGCCTCTCTTACTTGGTCTAGCTCCGTCGCACTTGGTTTTCCTGGCCTTGCATACATTGCAGGCAATTCTGATCTTGGCCCGTTTCGGCTTGGGTTCTCTCACGGCCTCGCCATGTGGAGAAGGGTGGCCGGCATGGAATGAGAACATCATCATGCGAAGAGGGACACTACTTTTTTGGAAAAGGACGAGATTCCGAATTTCCATCCGAAGTTCTCGTATCCATCCCGTGCGATTATGTCATTCGCTTCCGTTCCCGATCGGGTAATCCGAGGTTTAGCGGATATTCGGCATCGATTATGAACCGGTTACCAGAAGCCCGAGGAATCAAAACTTGGAAGCATCGGTATGCCGGTGGAGCACGTTTCCGGTTGAAAGGTAGATACTTAATCGCTCAAGAAATAATAGTACGGAACTTGAAGTGGCCGTTGAACAACGCTGGTCCCGAGCTTTCCGGCTACAGCTCATAATCTATATATCTTAACAACTGTATATCTCCATTTGGCTCCTACTATCACTTCTCAAATTGAACTTTTTTAGTAACATCACCACCACCGCTACTAAAACTCAACATACCTATCATCACGATGGCACCTCGACCTGACCCCCCCGCAGCGGGACGTGTTTACTTCCTCGACGTTGGAATCTCGAACTCTGAGCCCAATGGACGTCTTCTAACCTGCAAGCCCGATGGCTCGGATTTCCGCGAGCTGATCACACAACTCAACACGATGCCCGACGGTATCGCCATCGACTCTGTCCGCCAACATATCTACTGGACAAATATGGGGATCCCTTCTGCCGATGACGGGTCCATTCAGCGCTGTGATCTTTCAGGGAACAACATAGTCACCATCATCCCGAAGGGATACACCCACACTCCGAAGCAATTGATCATTGCTCCACGATCCCAGAAGCTGTACTGGTCTGATCGCGAGGGCCGGAGAGTGATGCGAGCGAACCTAGATGGAAGCGAGGTTGAGGTACTATACAAGGCCACTTCAAGTGAGGGCACCGACACACCGGCTGTGCTCGACTGGTGTGTGGGCATTGCAGTCGACGAGGAGGCACAATCGGTATATTGGACACAGAAAGGCCCGTCAAAGGGCAACCTTGGCCGGATTTATCGGATGGGGGTTGAGATGAGACAGGGAGAGTCAGCGGAGTCGCGGACAGATGTTGAATGTCTTATTAGTGGTCTTCCCGAACCCATTGATTTGGAATTGGATCACACTTCGAGGACGCTGTACTGGACGGATCGTGGAGATCCACCTCGTGGAAATACGGTGAATTCGGTGGATCTTTCCAGTGCACCTGTGAATAAGCTGGAACCAAAGATTCTGGTGCGCAAGCTTCACGAGGGAATTGGAATTGCCCTGGATACCAAGAATAAGCGTATGTTCTTTGGAGACTTGGGCGGCTCGTTGTACAGTGCCGATTTGAATGGGTCGTGCAAAAACACCATTGTGGCTGATGTTGGGGGTGCGATCACTGGTGTGGCGTATGTTGGGGAATAGAGCATCATACAATTGAGATGGAAAGCGTAGTATATAGTATAGACTTGTCCGATTCATTCCCTTCTTCTGTGTTAGCTGCCTTCGTGCTGTAGCTTCGTTTATAAACATACATCATTTAGCATATATTGTTGCATCTAATAAACTATAGTATTGCACATGCTTTCCAGCTGTATATTCCTTGACATGAGCAATAGACACTTCATCAGTACGAATATCTAAAGTGGGCATTCTCTCTATCTGTCTGGTCGACGTCGGAATCCGTCTGGCCACTTGTGGTTGTAATCCCATCCTTCGTGCGATTCAAATATGCCGCATAGACTGCGAACCCGAGTAAGAGAAAAATCTCAACACAATATGCGACCAGCATGGCAATGATCCCGGATGTATATTGGGGTGCTTCGCCGGATTTGAAGGCAAATGGCCCAACAATATTTCCAACACAGTACGAGATGAAAAAAATGGCATTCACAACCGATCGCTTGGTGGTCCCTCCTGTGTTTGCTGTGATGAGAGACATGATCATTGCGAATGATGCGGTATAAGTACTTGTAAGCTAGGATAAAATTAGCCACCATCATAAATTTGCCGTCGTAGGAAGTAATATACCCAGTAGCAAACAAGTAGAGCTATTTTGTGGTCTCTCGATATAGTATGAATCCCAACTGCCCCCGCCAGAGCGGGACATACATATATAGCACCGACAATACACCTCTTCTGCCCTGGCAGCCATCGCTGGATATACATGGCAGACACGTTGGACACCAATATTACCATACCGTACGGAATCTGGAACAGTGTCGTGACAAGATTCGAATATCCGAACCCCTCGATGATGAGACTCCCAAAGTTACTCGCCGCCCCGTTGACGACTTGCGTGCAGACGCCACAGAGGAAGAAGAACCACGTTTTGGGATCTGTCAGGGCTTCCCACATCTGGTACATTTTGATTTCGGACACCCTGGTGCCGGAATGTTTGGGGCCGAGACGGTGGACGGCGACGTATTTTTCTTGTGCGTTAAGCCAGCGACTGTGCCATTAGCAGCGGTATACCTAAGCAGGAGGAAAGACAATTTACGCAGTAGACAGCCCATCCGCAAGAGTAAAGAACATAAATATTCCCCACACAGAAGATATAGCACCAATGATAATGAATTGGTACTGCCACGACGACAGATTGCCTTGGATATGGCCGATAGCGAATGCCAACAGCCCTCCAAACGCATTTGCAATACCAAGAAAGGTGGACCACCATCCTATCCTGATCGGCTGTTCCTCAATAGTATACCATGTTGCTGTAATGAGGAGATAGGCTGGTGTGGAGCATGACTCGAGAGCACCCAGGACAAATCTCAGACCGAGAAAGGGTTGAAAATGCGTACATGCCGCCAGAGCCATAGTCACTCCGCCCCAGATGAAGACATTGACAGACAGCCATTTGGCCACGGAGTGTTTCTGCATGGCAAAAACAGAAGGGTTTTCAAACTGCCCATGTCAGTAAAGTATAACGTCTACAGGTTGGGCCGATAGCTATACGGCGAGATACCCAAAGTAGAACATGCTCCCTGTCAGAGTTAGTGTGTTATCGTATGAAGGTCGGCTGCCCATACCCAACCAGCTATACTCAGTTCCTTTTAGATGTAAATCTTCCTTCAGCCCAAAAACAGCGGCGTAGCCCATCATTGCTTTATCGATGTAGGTGATAAGATATGTGATGCAGATGAATGGAATCACCATCCAATCGACCTTCCTGATTACCCGACGTAGAAGAATTGGGTCGAACTGTGCTGGCCATTGTGTTTCTAACTTTTGATCCTGCTCCACTGACTCGAGATGGTCTGTAGTTGTTTTGGGATGATTCATATTTGGTGTCAATTATGGCTAGATACCGGAGAACGGTTGAGCGGATGCTCTTAGATTATCGTCCCCGTATACATGGGTTGTTTTATATAAGCATTCCGATTAAACTTTCCTTCCAGTGAACAGGTCACAGAGAAAAAAGGCAGTTGAGAAACACCCCGCATCAGCGACCATCTTCTACTCACCGCTGGCCAATCGCTCTGCCAATTCCTAGTACAGTAGCCCGGGGCCCCGGAATATCAATTGCGGGGACTGGCCGAAGCTAGTCTGGGCGGATATGTTTGTTATTTGCTAGGGAACCGGACCACAGGCGAGGTGGCTGTTTTCTTAGAGTTAGCAGCGGATTGTGATCGCGAGGATTCCTTCTTTGTATGCACTCACTCCAAGCATTGGCTGTGTATTTGTCCGAATATGGCATATCCGCGTCGGAAAAGTGATATATCGGAGGCTTTTCCGCTCCGATACCCACTTACAAAAGTGTTAGTGGGTCAGCCTGGGTTTAAAGAAGAGGTGTAGCACGGACTGGTTGGAAAGAAGATAAGAATGGCAGGCATCAGTGAAATGACAGAATGAGGCAGTGATTTATTCACTTTTCGTAAAATGCATGCGAGTTGCGTTCGAAGGTGTTTCTGGTGTTTTTGGCGTTTTCCAGGGAAGCCGCAGCGACGCTTGATTCATGTGGCAATGTGAACATCAGGTTTCAGACATTCACAGTCGAAGAAGTTCAGTATCTATTTTATGCGAGGAATTTTATTATTGGGTCCATCAAGCACAAATCTTGCATTTTAAATAAGCGTTGTGATACCTGGTTATAACGTGCGGAAAAGCACCCGAATCCGCTCCTCGCCACGGTCGGATCTATCAACCCTTACCATTGCAAATACGGGCTTCCCCATTTTTTGGAATTCCTACGATCCCCACACATGAAGCATTATCCCCAGAATCAACTCTGAGATGCCCTATAATCCCGGGGTTTCCTCCTTGTAACGAGCCCAATTTGCCTCATCACCATAGCACCTGCAATGGAGCCTTCTGTCTCTTTTGACTCTCTCCCTCTGCAGAAGGACGGTCCCCACGGAAATGCCTGGGGCCTTTTTGGTCCGTTGGACCAGCTAGCTTGCTGAATCGCCTCACACCCGAGACAACGATGGAAGCAGCAAAAGAAATCATCGATGGGGTCCGCGTATCCACCGACTGGTCACTGAACAGTATGCAAAAGCCGTGTTTTGGCCGTTCAAAACTCGAACACGTCGTGAAGAACAAAGCACCGCGAGCTGTCAACGATGACAGCCTCGCTTTCAATACGCAAATTAGCTCTCAGTGGGACGGATTCAGGCACTACGGCTACCAGAATGAGAACATCTATCTAAACGGGTGTACTCTGGAGGAGATCCAAACTGGGGATAGAAATGGAATTCATGGTTTGTTTCATATCCTTGCCCGACAACTGCATGCGGTGCTGATCCTCTCAGTGTGGGTTGAAAAAGGGGGGATTGTAGGACGCGGCGTTCTCCTTGATCATGCCTCCTGGGCGGAAGCACGGGGGAAATTAATCAACTGCTTCGCTACCACGTCCATCCCTGTCTCTACTCTAAAGGACATCGCCGCTTATCAAGGAACATCATTCAAAAGAGGAGACATCCTATTTATCCGCACAGGCTGGACCCGTGCCTATGAAAAGCTGTCCGCAGAACAGTGCCAAGAGCTCGCCGATCACAAGATCCCACCGGCTATTGGTGTCGAATCATCCGAAAACACCCTGCGCTGGATCTGGGATGAAGGTTTCGCAGCTGTTACGGGAGACATGCCCAGTTTCGAAGCATGGCCGTGTCAGAATACTGACTTCTGGTTGCATGAGTGGTTGCTAGCAGGCTGGGGCCTCCCCATTGGAGAGTTGTTTGATCTGGATCGATTAAGCCAAGAGTGTCGGAAGAGGAACCGATGGAGCTTCTTCTTCAGTAGTGTTCCGTTGAAGGTACGGAATCATTTTAATTTTGTTGGTGACTCGATGCTAACTAGTCTAGATGCCTGGTGGAGTTGCTAGTCCACCTAATGGTGTTGCCATCCTCTGATTAGCCCCTTACTACGTCGGAAAATTGATTCCTGTAAATATGATATCATAACGAATCACAATATCCAATAATGGATACCACTCATTCATTGGTACGAGGAACAAACAGCCAGCGTGGCTTTGGACATATTGCAGAATTGACGAACAGCGAATATCCAACATTTAATTCCTGACAAGTTGCGGCTGCATCAACATATTCCAGACGACTTCTAGTGCCTAGGGACACTAGCTGTGGGGTTCAGGGCAATTGCAATCACCGTGCCCCAACACATATTCACCATAGTCTTGGTTACATACTTCACACTACATTAAATCAGAAGAGCTTTACCAAAAGGCACCGATTCCATTCATTCCTCTCCTGCGGATTTGAAATAAGAGTATTCACTTCGCATTGACTAATAGTATGATGTGATTTCCAGCTCCTATAAAACATTCGACACAATCAGTCGATTCAAAGACAAACAAAATATGCTAACGCCCTCCCTTGCAGCACTGCTGCATCCGGACCTCGCCGGATAACTCCAAAATCCCAAACGCCGTTATTTGCTATTCTTCTTCTTCTGCTGCTCCAAGATGTCAATGTAGACGTGGCCCAGAGGTCCAGCCTCTGGGCTCCATCCCCCATGTTCGACACGATACTTGTTATTACTGTCCAGCATCTCGACGATGTTCACGCGATTGCCCTGGCGATTATCCCAGTGCAATTCGCAGATCTTTTCCTCGTCGTGGAAGAGGTCCAGCCGGCCCTCACTGCCGCGGCGACCGCGAGCACAGATCTCACCGATGCCGTACGAGGGGATGGTGATTTCATCAATCTCGTCCTCGGTGAGGGACTGTCTGCGGTTATTGGGGTCGTGGAATTCACCACTATCCAGTGAGATTATCAGTTAGTATACCAGACAAGGACACAATTGAGGTGATTTGATTGAACAGTCCAAGAGACGACGTACCCTTCGATGACGGTGTGACGGACGGAGATCTCGCCCTTGTCCAGGTGGTCCCGGATGTGGAAGGAGACCCATTGGTCGTCCATGGGGCCGGCTGCAGGCATCTTGAATGAAGCAGGGCAAAAGGTGAGTAGAAAAGGGTAAGTAGATCTATGTATGCTGTGATGCTTTGAGGATGATGGGGGAGAGAAGAGCGAGTCGAGCAGCTACCGAAGGGGCTATTTATTGCTCGAGGCCCCGGCTGTGGGGTGATTCAAGAACGGGTATTGGCAAGGGCTGATCAGTTTTCCATTTGTTGGATGAATGAACGGAGAGGAGACCAGAGACAGAGGGCAGAGCAGAGAAAGAGGATCAGATGACGGCAGGGTGGGTTGATGTGGTTGGCCCGACGGTGGGCTGATCCACGGATGGAGAGCTGCAGATGCTGGGATTGTGGGGGTGGGCCGGCAAGTGACGGGCTGCTCCTCACTGCCTTCATCTGCGAGTCTATTGTGGTGTTACTTGGTGGCGTCATGGCCCGTGGTATCTTTGTCACTGGCACCGATGGCATCACCACTTTTCTTGTGCAGCTGCTGCTGCTGCTTAGGTTTGCTTCGCCTGTTACCCCCGGCTTGTCTTCCCCGCACCACTGGGCCAATAATCACCAGTTGCGGTTCCAGGGATCGGCAGAGCTGTCGATGCTGGTCCATCCTCTTAATTGGATGTCATCTCGCCTTTTTCCCTTGGTGGCGAGACACCTGTCTGGAAAATTGGCCAGAGAGACCTGGCCAGAAATGTTTCAAGTTGGCAAGTCTTCAACTGAGTACAAAGTTGTTTCTCCGCCCCTCGTATTAATGGGACCAATTGGGACCAACCAGCTCGATTTCATCTATTGGCCTGGGTCTCCAAAGTACCTGGCTTCTGAACCACTGGCATCTTCTTATTACTTTTTTAGGATGTGATGCCTGCACCTCGCTCTCTCTTGGACATGCAGGAGTCGTGGCGGGTGCTGATAGGAGGGCCACACTCAACGTCGAGGGCTAGATTCTTTTGGGTTATAGCTCACAAATAACGGGGTGTGTTGATCGGAAGGAGTTGTACATGATATAGAGAACGGCATCTCGCTTTGCGCATCGCTAGAGCATGTATACCTTTCACTTGCATGCCCTTAGAAGTCAATGCATGGCAGCGTAGTAGTGGAGAGTCGACTCGTAGGTTGCCTGCCATCCGAGACAAGCACACCAATGCAGGCAGGAATTGGCCGAAAAGCTAGGGATGCACCTACACATAACTTACTTGACAGACCATCACCGGATCAGGGCATGATCATCTACGGCACTCCATGCACTTGCAGTCTTCTTGCAGCAAATGTCTGTCTCAGCCGATCGGATGAAGATCCGCCCGACCCAACGTGACCACTTGCCTGCCTTTGTCCGGCCACTGATGATCCTTCCCCCTCATTTAGAGCAGTACTAGGTAAGTAGGAATCATGTTAGGGATCGGAAAACTCATCTAACCAGATGAAGGGTAGATCGTCCTTTTCAAATCCCCGCGCAACAGATACGACGTCCGGCCGTCTAGAGCACGAATGAGCAGCATACTGCTCGAGACGATCGCGCAGGCCAACGACTCATGCAGGCGACGTCAGCTGGCAATATTGCAGACTTATGAGACAGAAACCGACGATAAACGGCTATCCAGAACAGTGTGAACTTCTAGATGCCAATCTGCCCACCCGATGCAGTAGATGAAGGGCTCTCGAAACAGCGTCGAAAAGAGGTCACGTGCCCACATGCTCTCCTACAGAATGGGAGTATCATCCTAGGCATCAGCCAGAGAAGGAAAGTAACCTACCCCCTCTTGCTTGTCCGAATTGGTCTGGAACATTCGGGACTGGAAAGCCAATTCTGCGTGGATGGCACGGCTGCTCCCATGTCACGCGGGAGCGGCTTGTTGCGGTCCAGATGCAAGGCAGAGGCGGGGATGGCTAGTAATTAGTTTCATCCGCCCAATTGCTCGATACTCACTGGTTCTGGATGCATGGGTCGCATCGGATGAAGGAGGTAACACTGGCAATATGCTCACCCCGCTCGAGGAGGTGGAACTGCCTCAGAATCCCGGCTAGTCTCTGCAACCATCGGCGAGTCAAGAGCCCTTCAATTACGGACAATCTTCGTATCTTGCATAATCAAACGAAGTATGACTGAAGCGAGCGATCGAGTGGACACATCGCTTCTGTAGTGTCTAAGGAATTACGGTTTATAAAGCCTCAAAAGGGTAAGTCGAAGGTGGAAGTGTAATGATGCACATCGCCTGTCAAGGAGCTTCGAGGATATTATACATGCGTGCAAACAAGAGAAGCAATTGCCTCGGACTTCTTTCTCTATAATAACGCGAACAATTCTTCTAATCGCCGCTTTGCGATCACCTGATACAAGGACCGCAGGCGCCCCCTGTTAGGGGAGGATGCCCTGACCAGTCGAAATCTGAGCCTTTCAGGCTTCATAATTATAGCAGAGGTATCCCCCAACGGGGTTCATTACGTCGGCTACCGTGACATCCGGCATTATATCGAATGTGGTCAAGGTATAATTGAGGGTTGTCTGCGGCCAGCCTGATGCGGGCTCGACATTGGCCGATTCATTGATGGCAGGGCCACCCATGTCCCACAGACGCTTGGCGGGATCATGCATCTGCCACCGGTACCACAGACGGTCGATGTAGCCATGGTGCAGATAGAAGAGCGGGTCACCAGGCGAGGTCTTTACATCCTCCATCTAGTGTTTCACGTTCGCGTCAGTTCAATCGGAAACCACCCCCTTCACGTCAGGACAAGCAGGCACTCACCACTCCACCAACCGCCCAGTGACCTCCTCGGTGAGGCGTGGCGGCAATGCAAGCGAAGTATTCGTCGTAGCTGTCGAATGTATTGCAGTGAGCGACTGCCGCACCGGTAGTATTCAATATCGCCTCGTAATTTCCCCAGCTGCGGTTCATGCAGAACACCGTGTTTTGTTCCTGGGGACCAATATGTTCCGTGTAGTACGCAAAGGCCCCATCAGTCACACATCCATCAGGTTCCGTGCCATTGCCACCAAACGCATCTGCATCCCACATCTCCGACCGGAACAAATTCCCGGAATCCGTATCGTATGCCTCGTTCCACCATCTCCAATATAGTCAGCTTCCTTTCTTCTTGTGCCAATGAGGGGGCGCAAAACCTACGCCATTGGGCCGGTATAGCCACACTGCTCCTTCAGCAATGTTTCATATACATGCAGGAAGTATCGGTGCCAGGGCAGGAATTGGCCCTATTCTGTCAGACTCGGCTCTGCCACTATGTATCGCGAAACTCACCACACTATGGATAATGTCACCCACCGGGGTGTCAGTAAGGGCACGGTGCAAAGCTTGCAGATCGCTGAAGCGGTTCGTGGTGGCCTCTAGCCCCGTTTGCGCAGGAAGATCCATCAAACAATTGACTCCCTTGAGATAGCTTTTTTGTTCAACCTTGGTCATATTCCGCCACTCCTTTCGAATGCTCATCTTCTCCGGCGTACATCCCCCTGAGAACAACCCTGGATCAAGGCTGGTCACGGCATCAGAAGCTGGTATTTCGCTGGTAGAGGCCAGCCCAATGGCGGCCAAAAGCCAAAAGGCGGAAAGCATCATGTTTAACGTATCGGGTAGCAAGATTCTAGCCCACCGGCGGTTGATATAATAAACAATAGATAGGAGAGGAGACGCGACGACTTCTCTCTCGACGGCGATCCACTCGGCTTTTGCCCCAAGAAGAAATCGGCGAAGAGGAGACGCGGCAGCTTATGTCTGTCCCATCGCAGATAGTTCGATCGATCTTCATTCTTCAGCTCATGCTGATTTCGGCCACCTCTCCTTGCCGACATCCCGAAATACCCGGATAACCCAGTGTTCAGACAGCCATGTCCAGCTGCCAAGGTTGCGACAAAGATATTCCAAGCGTCTACCAACCGATTGACGAGCAGGTCCACGCCTCAGCTTGGGTGGAGCTGTGCTGGTTTGGCGACATATCTGTTTTTCCTGTTTGGTATGTGAGGTACATTCCAGAGACAGATCGCCCAATTACGGCCGGCATGAAAATTCAATTGCTCTCGCTTTGCGAAACTGCAAATGTCTCAATACATCCGGCTACTAATGTAGCACTTCGGGGTGGATACAGGCAAGCTTTAGCCTATACTGAGCCCTTGGCGACCTACGCTAACGCGCCCTCTCGCAGTCAACAACGTGCAATTCCCACTCAATAAGCTCTGAGTCTTCATTCCCGCGCCATCGCAAAATATGTGGCTGAACATTCCGCCCTGCATCCCTGCCATCTCTCATTTGCGAAGGCCGGTTGTTAACACTAGCGAACCCATGCAAGCCAGTGTCGTCGACAGCGAAATGGGCACATCAAGAAAGGCGTCCATCCCAAGGTCTCTTCTCCAAACCATCATTTGACTCTCGATTTGCCGTGTTCTGGCTCTCCTTCGTTATATCTTCATCTCGCTACTTCCAAAGAACAGGAGCGAGCTGCCGGTGATCGATAGTGCAGTCTGCGTCGAGCTCGCAAACCTTGGTACAAAGGGAATGCACTCCGCCCATTCAAATACGTGAGGGCGGCATGCCATGCGGTTATGTCGAGGATGGGATTTGGCCAGCCTTGTCAATGGAAAACACATCCGACTATGCAAAGAGATAGTCAGACTTCAGACTAAGGCGCAGCGAGATTACAACGTGATGCAGCTCCTCACGCCGCATGCCTTTACGACAACATCCGTAGTACAGGCGAATCAGAGTCCAGGGTCTTTGAACACTGCCCGTCAACAAGTGTGGTCTAGGGCAAGCATTCTATGAGCGAGCCCCCAGCCAGAGTCTTCCAACGTGGAGCATGTCGACATGCATAATGCCCATCATGGCTGGGCTGGTGGCTTCAATTTGCGAGTGAACCTAGCCAAGGTTCAGAACGAGGCTTGTTTCGGCCAAAGTTTAAGGCGCTTATAAGCAACGCACTGAGATGTATGCCCATCTGGGTACAGAGCACACGCATCGCATACTGCGCTGGAATACTCCAGCCACACCGATGCTTGACCCTTCTAGGTGTACGAGGAGCGACCAGTGCATAGGGCTCACCCGGTCTATGTATTCGCAATTCATTGGATAACATCCAATTTTGAGCCGTTCAAACTTCCAGTGTCACTGCAATGGCATGTCATCAAATCACCACTGGCGATTGTAAGCTCATCTGGCTCTGTGGAGTGGGAGGTCCGAACATAGTGAAAGCTTCCAGAGTCTGACGCCAAATGCCCGTGTCCCAGTCGTTGTGCATCAGAGTTTCAAGATATACAGCAGGTTCTGGCTGCATGGGTAATTGACTTGGTGTCCAGTGGGGCTGTGAGTCGAAAATGATCGAAGGGGGCGGGCCCTGCCATGAGACAGGGGGTCGAGGGGGACCATAAGCCTCGCTCGGATGTTGCACCACATGACTGATACTACACTGGCGCTGCGCCTCACTTTTGCTTTTCTCTAGCCATGCCACCATGCTTATCACACGGCAGTTCGACCAGATATCATCACCAAGAGAGAGAGAAGCAATCTTTCGCATAGTGGCCAGAACGTCCTCGTGGACGCGCCGACTGTCTATCTCTGGTGTGGGATGGTTGTAGTTTCCAAATAGCAGGCTTACCTTGGCAAGAACCAGCATCACATACCAAAGGGTATAATATGAGGAAGCCGGCAGGTGCACCGCCACGTCCGCTGGCACCTGGAGGTACGTGGCAAGAACCCGGTGAGCGGATGCCGTAAGATGCTGCAGCCGATTAATCTCCCGAAGTCGAAAGACGTCTCTGCGGCGCTGCACTGCTTGACCCAAGGTCAGGGTGGTGAGTGCGGTGAGCTCTAGACGAAGGGCCCCTTGTAATCAGATGGTTAGATTTCCCGAGATAAGGGCATGTTTCTGGAGTTGCCAGCAACTCACAATTGTCACACGAGGCGAGGCGTGATAGCTGGTCCTCGGTCTGTCTCTCTTGCCGCTCGATGGATTCTACAATCTGCTCCCATGACGCATCCCGAGGGTGGTAGGAGCAGAGGCATACGTCTTCGTCGAAGACACACTGCGTACGTCGCAAGAAATTGTTGGAGAGGATATAGTCCCCCAGGAGGACATCGCTGGGGTATTCGGGTTTCCGAGCAAGATCCTCCACACACTGCGCAATCCATCTGGTGTGTCTCATCGTCACCTGTCGGCGAAATAAAGTCGAGCTTCGGGGTGATTGTTAGTCGGAATGTCCAGCGTTGAAGAAAACGACTGAAGTCACAGGCAACACTCACGTGCAACACAGGTGGTAACAGCCTAGCAGAGCCCTCTGCTCCGTGGGATTCGAATGATGGCGTTGGTTGTCCGCGGGCTCTGGAGGGATAGGCTGCATCCGGATGTTCTCGTCCTTGTCGATGCCCAAATCGACGACCACCATGTGCGCCATTTCAAGTAGCATGTACTTATGGATATGCGGGGTCCGCCAGTGATAATGAAACCATGCGCAATGAACGAGGAGCCCCAAGAGGAGATCGAGATTGCGCTCGCCCTTAGCGACTAGACGAGTGGCCGCCGTTTCGCGAACGAGAGCCTCCAGTTTGTGTTGCAGGAGGGGTTTGTGTTCCATACACACGGTGACGATGCACAGCAGGAGGAAAGGCGAGCGCTGGCGGAGGACCTCGATCTCCATGTCGGAGGACACCATGACGAAGGGGAACTGGGCCATTTTCTGGGTTCTGAACTTGTCCATAAGCTCATCAGCCTCGCGTAGGGTGACCAACCCGCCGAGAACGGGATCCCCCGATGCCTCATCGCTCGGTCGAGAGCTTTCCCGGCGGTGGTAGAGTCGCGGTGAGTCTGGTGGGTGCGTGGACGGAGTTGCACTGGAGAGACTGCCGTGGTGGGACGACGATTCCCCTTGCTAGGTACGGTTAGAGCACGCCTTGTTGGAACCACAGTAGCAAGATGATTGGAGGGGAAGAGAGAAATTGCATACCTTCTTGCCCAGTTGCGCTGCCAGATTATCAATTTGCTCCTGAAGGGCATCAATGCGGGTCTTCCTGTGGTGGTGGAGGAAAGATCAATCAGCCAATGGTTGGTAGCCGGGAATATATGCAGTAGTAGTAGTAGTAGCAGTAGTAGTATGTGATAGTGATGATAAGGCTGGGGTTGTAGATCACGCTGGATGCAGGCTGATCGGGCAGTTTGTGCAATCAACGTAAGAAAAAAAAAAATTATATAAATAAATAAACGAAGTAAAGAAAAAAGGAAAAAAGAAAAAAGGAAAAAAGAAAAAAGGAAAAAAGAAAAAAGAAAAAAAAAAGAAACAAAAAAAAAGCAAAAATTTGGAATGAAAGGCGAAAACGCAGAGCAGAGCAGCCAAATGCACACTAACTACTACCACCATTATACACTTCTTTACTAAGTAGTTAAGTACTCACCTTGGACGGGTGACATGAGGGGACTCAGGCAGCGAACATGGCTGGCCCAAACGGGTGCAGCGAACGCACGTGCCCGTGGGGGGAACAGGCACGCAGCGGACTTTCAATCGGACACATCGGACGCAGGCATGGCGTCGCGGTGGCTGCTTGCGATTCATTTGCTCCCGCAGCAAATTGTGGGTTCGTCACCGTCAGAGCCAGGCACGATGCAGAGCACGTTGGGGAAAAGGGAGGGAGGGGTTGGACGTGGCAAGAATGGGGGGAAGGAGAAAGTGGGAAGATGCAGGGGGGGGAGAGAATTGTGGTTGTCTGGCTTGCTCGCGTCGAGTAGTAAGTTACTTAGTACTAATTAGTGCTGACGGGATTATTCTTCCTAAAGGAAAACAAGAAAGAGGAAAGAGGGAAAGTCACATGAGACGGGCCCGCGCTTCCCTTTCCTCTCTACTAAGTAACTTGCTACTTTACTTCCCCTTCTTCTTCTTCTTCTTCTTCTTCTCCATCTCCATCTCTATACATTCAAATTTTTCTCTCTGTCTCTCCCCTATTGCCATTGTTCTGGGTATATTTTCTCACCTTCTTATTTCCAACTGCATCTCAACCTCTTACCGATTCCACAACATTAGTACCTCTTTGCGTTACAGGGTCCCCGCCAAGGGCCACCAATCCAGAGGCTGCTCTAAGCGGGAGGCTGCACTAGAACCTCCCCCTAGAGATGCGGCATCGGTGCGACCGAGTCGGAGTCGGAGCAGGAATCGGTCGCACTGACTACTACTATTTGAGCACTAGACAAATAACGGTCCAGCTCGTCTAGCAAGACGACAATTCGGATCAACTTCGCTCACAGATTCTCTTATCAATCTCTGCTTTGTTAGAAACGAATCAACTTGTTCAACCAGCGATCGGCTTTTTCTGGTCTAGCCGTCCGGAGAACCCAGACGAACTAGTGGAGTCACCGATCGCTGTCACGCTCCACTCTTCCACTCCATGGCTCCAGCTGTCGAACATCCATACTGTAATGACAATTGTTCGGGTCATGTGCTGTAGCTCTAATCTTATTTGACTTGTCACACCAGCCATTTAGACCCTCTTATATGACAACTCTTCACGTTACGGGCGCATACTGGTAGCACGATCAGCTGTTCAAGAGTCACGACGGGATACTGCTGTGTCCGGTCGGGTCTTATGCGTGAAGAGCGACGTGGAACATCTAAACATAGGTATGAACCTTACATTTGCATTGACGAGCCCACTTACCATCCTTGGATTGTTGTTCCACCCATCTGTCCCTTCGATTCAAGACCTTCATCACCTATCCATGGGTGTCATGAGCACAATCCCGGAATATCCCGTTGTGATAAGGTTCTTA